TGGTTCTTTCCTCTGTTTCCTCCATTTTGCTCTTAGACCCATCTGCTGAGCTTTTTAATTTCAGCTGTTATATTTTTAATTTCTAAAATTTGCATTTTCTTTTTAAAAATTTTTAAATGTTTTATTTATTTTTGAGAGAGAGACAGAGACAGTATGAGCAGGAGAGAGTCAGAGAGAGAGGGAGACACAGAATCCGAAGACAGCTGTCAGCACAGAGTCCGATGTGGGGCTCAAACCCATAAACCATGAGATCATGACCTGAGCTGAAGTCGGACGCTTAACAGACAGAGCCACCCAGGTGTCCCTAAAATTTACATTTTCTTATACCTTCTATTTCCTTGCTGTGGACTTTTATATTCTTACTCATTAATATTTCTGGGTTGCTGACTTCTTCATCTTCCAGTCTGGGATATATGAAATAAAGAAAATCCAGAGAACTAATTGCTGTCTTGTTCCTTGGATCTTGATTTCTATAGGCAGACTGCCTTTCTATATCTTTCAAAGTTTTCTTATGTTTGCTTTATATATAATATCAAGGGTTTTAGTTCTACTTAGTGGGAGGAATAGAAGAAGGCATGTCTACTCCATCTTCCCAGAAGTGGAATTCCAGGTCTATCTTTTTTATTCACTACAAAATTTTAGAAAATATCCTGGACTGTTTTATAATAAGGGATGATCATTTGGTATAGAATCCAAGAATGCTGAGAATTCTGAGATTCTGAGATTGCTGGGCAATCTGAGAATGCCCAGAGGTCACAAATAACATTTGGAAATAACTTAAATATCAAAATCACATTAAAAAAGTTACTGCTGTGTTATAAAACAGAAACATCTAGCTCCCCCTAAAATAAAAGATATACCATCACCACCATGTGTTGGTCAGTCTGCAAACTTGTTCACTGGTTCTGAGACAAATCCTATATATCTACTATATTTTTTGTCCTGTTCTTTTTTCCCCTTGAGGTCCACTGTGTGTTCAGGAACCTTAATATCTTCTCTGGATCATAGGAAATAATGATTATAATAAAACTATTTCATAAAATTGTTCATGACTTAATATCTTACTTTTCCAGTAATATTTGCATTTTATAGGGGGAATATCACCAAAAGGGCAATGTTCAGCAAAAGAAAGCTCTTCATACAATATGCTTTCCAATATCCAACAGTATGTGGAATTTTCTATGAAGGGAGAAAAGACTTACCAGAATTCTTCACATTACCAGAAACCGATATTCATCTTATCATTTCACTATCTCTGTATACTGATGTTCATTACTTTTCAAAGAAAAGGCTATTAGTAAATATCTCTACTTTCTGTATATATTCATGAAAACTTTCTATATGAAAAGTATGTGTGTAGGGATGTGAGTGCATCATATTCTGTTTGATAAATCTGGCTTATGGCACAAGGAGAGAGATTGGTTGTACAGGGTATCAGAGTGTCCAGGCTATTCTGACTCTAAAGAGTTTCTTCTTTCTATGGAAATCCAGTACAGCAATTAAGAGTGTGGCTTGGTTTAGTGAGGCCTAGTCAGATCCTTGCTCTGCCTTTTACTGTTGGTATTGCTTCAATGACTTTCTAAGCCCTAGTTTTACCAGCTATAAAACAGAGTAATATGATCTATCTTCTGTAAGATAATTCATGTAAAGTCTGGAGGACAGTGCCAGATACATGGTACAGATTCAGTAATTGTTAGGTATTAGGAGTTAAAACCTTTGACTTAATAAGGTAGTTTTCCCTTAAGAGGCACGGATGTGTCACTCTGTAGATAGGACATCAGTGTTGTATCAACTTCCTCAAAAAGTGCTCTGCAAAAATGATAGGCTAAGAACCTAAGATGATGTGATGGAAGCTTGTGATCACATGAAGACCAAGTATACCTGCTTGTTCACAAATCACCTCTTACATTCTCTGAAAGTTGGATTTAGTTATTCACATCCTCTATATTTTTGAAAGTTCTGGAACTATCATAGGTAAAATATCTTGTATCTCTCTCCTAATCACACTGCCATTGTTTTAAGCCATTTAGAAAGGAAAGAGGTATAGTGAAGGATTAATCAAAACATGTTGGGGACCAGTGGAAAATGGCAAGAATTTTCCTTGAGCTGGTAAATTTGTAGGCATGAACCAATTTGTCAAACCTGGAAATAACGCAGTGTTGTGTTTGGAAATAAAACAGTTTTACTGCTTTAGCCACACCCTATACTTACAGGAAAAGATGTACACACCTTTTAATGTCTCCATTACCAAATCCTGGATATCAGATAAACTTAGTCATGGCCTTATTAACAAATTAGGTTAATCAGGGCTCCAAAGGCAGCAATGTTGCTCTTTCATTCAAATTCACAATTGTGATAAAACCAAAAAAGCATTCTATACATGTGCAGGGCTCTATAATGCCTATGAATGAAGGTATAATAAGTTATACCGAAGAATAGAGGCATATGAGGAGTTTGTCCTTGTCATCACTCCCAAGACTGGACCACCTAGTTGGAGAATGAGCATGACTCCAACAATGTGACTCCTTTACTTTATTTACGGGATAAGCAAATACAAGAGGTAAGGATGTGGAGAGAGGAAACTAGCCTTCATCAAGCACCTACAATGTGGCCAACATCATGTTCATCAGTTTACAAAGATTCTCATTTCATTTCTCCATCTCTCAAGTCAAGCTTTGGAGTGCAATGATATTGCATTAGCACTTCTAGTCTTAGAGAGCATCAATGTCTGACAGAATAATATGTTATTTTCCAATGAATATGCATTTTAACAGCAACCAAAGAAGTTGTGTAAAAGTGCGATATCACAAAAGCTTATGTATCTATCTATATCTATCATCTACTTACCTACCTATCCATCTATCATCTGTATATTATCTACCTACCTACCTACTTATTGTCTATTTATTATCTATCTATCTATCTATCTATCTATCTATCTATCTATCTATCTATCTAAAGAAGTAGAGTTAGAAGAGGAAGAGACAGAACAAGTACTCAGAGTGCTGGAGTGCCCTCACTCAGTGGGGCATAATTTCATCCACACACATTGTTGATCTTACCATTTTACCCTGAGGGTGACATTTAACTAGAAAATGATATTAATGAAAAATTTGTGATATATTATACCAACTCATGGTAGATGTTGGTTATATGTACTTAATCTTACCTTCTTTTATCACTCTGCCCACTTTTTTTCATTTTCCTCTCTATATTCCCACAGCTATTTTCATGAGGCTGATGCTGACACAGTCAGAGTATCTTCCTTATGCTACTCCAAGGTTAAGAATCAATTTGGGTTTTATTTTCCCATGCAGTTGTTGTTATTGGGATTGCAGTCAGGCATTTTGGTTGAGTGTAAACTAGAAGCATCTAGTGGAGATTACATTTACAATAGTATATATCATTTTCAACTTTTTATAAGGCCATCAGCATTTCAATGCCTAAGGTGGTTATTTATATGTTGATACTACTTGGGCTCAGGAGGAAATCTCAATTAAGATTCTAGGCCTGTAACCTTACTACTTTCATAACCACTGTCCTGGACTTTGGGGGCCCCTTTTCTGGCAGAGATTTGACCCCTCAGGGAGTGCCTGTGCAGTTGCTACGCTGCAGAGAGAGGGGTAAGTGTGATGACTCAGGCTTTGAGGCTGGGTGGTCTCTTTCGTGCCCCTTCCCCTAGAATTATCTCTCAATTCAAGCCCTGCCAGTCCACATGGATTCCCTGTCTGCTGGCTTCCTTCCCACCACCCTTCTTATACTGTATCAGTATCCTCCAGAAGAGAGCTCTTTGTTGCCAGACCATGCTTTATTCTTCTTATTCTCCCCAGCAACTAGCATAGGCTTAGCCCACACCAGATGCTCCATAAAATGAATAAATGAAGGAAGGAATGACATGAGATTTTAAAAATGAATTATAAGATAATCTTTCTGCTGTCTGTTTAGATATATCCAGTGATGGGACCTCATTAGCTCCATAAGACAGCACTTTCAGCTTAGAATTGCTTTAATGTTCTCAATTTGGAAACATATTTGGTCACCCTATAATTTGCACCATTTCCCCCTTTGCTTTACCCTTTTGAAATCATAGACACATAGAAGCCTCTTATAAGCTTATATACATGAAATCCCCTGATCTAGTTCATAATTTTTCAGGCTAAACAATTTTAGCTCATAGAATGTGGTTTTCAGACCCTTTATCATCCATAGCCCTCCTCTTCTGGAAGTTCTCTGGTTTATTACATTCTATAATTAAAATGTAGCACCCACCACTGAATACATTTCTTTTTTTTATTTTTTTAATTAATTTATTTTTTTTTTACAAATAGTTTATTGTCAAATTGGTTTCCATATAACGCCCAGTGCTCATCCCCACAAGTGCCCTCCTCCATGCCCATCTCCCCCCTGCCACCCACATCCATCAGTCCTCAGTTTGTTTCTCAGCATTCAAGAGTCTCTCATGGTTTGCCTCTCTCTCTTTCCCCCACCATTTCCCCCCTTCTTCTCCCCCTTGTTACTCAGTTAAGTTCCTCCTAATCCTCCTATACGTGCAAACATATGATATTTGTCCTTCTCTGCCTGACTTATTTCGCTAAGCATAACACCCTCAAGGTCCATCCATGTTGCTACACGTGGCCAGATTTCATTGTTTCTCATTGCCATGTAGTACTCCATGGTATAGATAAACCACATCTTCTTGAACCTGAATACATTTCTTAAACATGAACTGACCAATGACTTGATGTTCTCCTCTGCATCTGTTTGTCATCCTAGCTACAGAGCTCAAGGAACCCAGAAAATGCAGCTAAGTTCATCTCAGCCAAATTCACTTCCTTCTTTGATCATGTTTATATCCTGAATCTTTTCCTAACTGTCCTACTAGGACAAACTAGTTAGAGGGAAACTTAAGCACACTTTTTCCCTCTCAGTTTTAAGAACAGATATAAGAGGTTTCACCAGTAACGAGGTTTTCCTTGTATTCCTTCCCAGGTTTCTATCTTGATGATCCTTTCTGTCTTAAGTCAACAATGCTTCTTGACTTGAAGAAATCCCCCACCTGCAAATGCACATCTCTGTAAGTACCATCCCTTAGAGAAATGTGAGAGATGAAGAAAGCATTGTTAATTTCCTCATAGTTTTTGACAATATGGCCATCATCTTCGCCTAATCCTATGATATCTTATGCTGTGTTGATGCTGGAAGTTGGGGAGCAAAAGAAAAGTGAGAGATTTACTCAGTAAAGGGAGTAGAAAGTCAGAGCTTTACTCTCCCCAAATTTTTAGTATTTCTTTCTATTTCTCCTTCTGTTTGAGCCACATAATGTCTTCTATCCCTGTAGTGGGATATGGAAGAGGAATGGAGGCTGATGCCATACATAGTAGAATGGGGATCATCTCTGGCATTTACCTGGTCATTTAATGCCTATTAACATAGCTCAAGATGGCACTGGTTCCTTTCTTTGTCCACCATTAGACAGTGCAGGTTTTTAGGGAGTTTGTGGTCATGAAAGTCCTCTTTCTATGCTTGTGCAATTGCCATTTGAGGCACAAATTCAGGATTAAAAATTTATCTTTATGCTTAAAATAATTTGTTAATAATTAAAACATTTAAGGTCTTAGATGTGATTCTGGCAACAATTTGGATCTAATTGGTAAATAGTGTTTAAATTCCTTATTTGATATGAGCTGTCAAGTTTTTTTTAATATAAAAAAACTCCAACCCATTTCACTGTATTTGTTTATGTTTTGTTAGTAATGTCTAGTGTTACTATTTTGTGATCAGATTATACACAGTGTATTTACTTTTTCAGAAGTTACATTTTCTTTGTGAGAACAGAGGTATTTTTTGGTTTTGTTTTGTTTTCAATGGGTGCTTGAAAAAAAAGGTGTACTTTATTTTGGCCACAGAGTTTGATATATATCTACTTACTCATCCTTTATTTTTTTAAGTTTTTATTTTAATTCCAGTTAATTAACATACATTGTATTAGTTTCAGGTGTACAATATAATAAATTCATTCAAATCATCCTTATTTTTGGTTTCTTATTGTTACTGTTGTTTGCTTACTTGACCAAAGATTGAGTGGTAAGTTCCATTATTACAAGAAAATTGTATTTCTGTTAATTTCTCCTTGAATCTCTGATAGTTTTGATTTATGTATTTTAATTCTTGACTACTCAACTTGTAAAGTTTTGTGACTATTCTATATTCTTACAAATCATTCATAAGATGTACTTCTTTGTCATCTGTTTTTATTTTGTTTTGCCCTGAATCCTAATTTTTCTCATTCCAATATTGCAATTATTATTTGCTTCTTATCTATCATTCACTGATGCATTAGTTACTATCTTTTCACCTTAAATAAATAACATTGTTGATGACCATCTTCTAAAATTTTGGATTTAGATTTTTTAATAAGGAAGATTAAATAATTTATACTATTTCTGTCTTAACTGAAGTGCATTTGTTTTATTTCTGATAACTTTTTACATTATCTGTTTTATATGGGTCTTGTTATTTCCTTCTTTTCTTTTGAAAAGATTGATAGACTTGACGAATGAAAAATGTCTTAACATGGAAAATCAAAAATTTCTCAAACTCACAAGTAAGAAAAGAATTTTAAATCAAAGTAATAATTTGGTAGCATTTTTACCTATAAAACTGGTAGATCTTTTTATCACAATACCCAGAGTTTGTAGATATGAGTAAAACATTGGTAGTTGGTAGTTTCATGAGTTAAATTGATACACTGAGGGACAATATTGAAATATATATCCAAAGAATGAAAATGTGCAATCTATTTTCACAGCAAATTTACAAATGTGTCATAAAAAATAAAATTATTAAAAAAAGAAATATGTCCAAAAATTTGTCTACAGATATATTCATCATCAATATTTAAAATTATAAAACATTAAAACAAAGTTATAATTCCCAGTAAGAATTGGTTAATTAGGGTTGCCTGGGTGGCTCAGTTGGTGAAGTGTCTGACTCTTGATTTCAGCTCAGGTCATGATCTCACAGTTTGTGAGATGGAGTTCTGTGTCAGACTCTGTGCTGACAGTGGAGCCTGCTTGGAATTATCTCTCTAACTCTCTCTCTGCCCCTTCTCTACTCATACATGTTCTCTCTCTCTCTCTCTCTCTCTCTCTCTCTCTCAAAATAAGCAAACATTAAAAAACGAATTGGTTAAATAAAATATAAGAAATTCATAAGACGCAACATGAAGTAGCCATTAGAAACCATGTTTTAGAAGAACATCTAATAGTCATAAAATACTTCATTTGAACAGTACATTTAAAAGAGTTTGTGGTTGTCTACACACACACATTTAAAGAGTAACAAAAAAAAAAAAAGAGAGAGAGAGAATAAGAGACTGAAGAATATAAACCCAATATTAACATTAGTATTGGGAATAACTTTCATTTCTCCCTTATAATGTTTAAGATTTTTGAATTCTCAGGAATTAACATGTTTTGTTTGCAATCATAAAAAAATAATATATTGTACACCTGAAACCAATGTAACACTGTGTGTCAACTTTACTTCAACTAAAAAACAAAAACAACAAAAAATCCCCACTTAGCTAGGGTAGTATGCAGTTTTTGATACAAAAAGAATTAATAAGTAGAGTGCCTGGGTGGCTCAGTTGGTCTAATTTCGGCCCAGGTCATGATTTTATGGTTCATGAATTTGAGCCCCATCTCAGGCTTGTTGCTGTCAGCACAGAGCCCATTTTGGATCCTCTGTCCCCTATTCCTCTGACCCTCCCCCACTCATTCTCTCCCTCTCTCTCTTTCTTCCAAAAATAAATAAACATTAAAAAATTAGCGGCGTCTGGGTGGCTCAGTGGGTTAAGTGCCTGACTTTGGCTCAGGTCATGATCTCACGGTTTGAGGGTTCCAGCTCTGCTTCAGGCTCTGTGCTGACAGCTAGCTCAGAGCCTGGAGCCTGATTCTGTGTCTCCCTTTCTCTCTGACCCTGCCCTGCTCACGCTGTTTCTCTCTCTCTCTCTCTCAGAAATAAATAAAAACATTTTAAAAATTTAATAAATAAAAATATAAAAAAAGAAAACATACAAGGAAGGAAGGAAGGAAGGAATAATGAACGAACACCTGAAGTTGAAGAGATGTCAGGACCAAATGCTGATAAAACACTAAGTAAAATGGAGATTAAAAATACTTCGGTATACATCTTACAACTGGAGGTTGTACTCTTTGGAAAAAATACATTTCTAAAAACTGAGTAGCACCATTGCAAAGCCCTAGAAATTTACTACAGGCTTATATATAATAATCTTCACTATGGTTATCTAAACAGCCATGAGTGCCCCTAACTATATAAGCACTATTTATTGTCTTCATGCCCACAGGATAATCATTAGAGGCTTCGTGATATTCTTCACAGGATCCAACTACATTTTGATTACCAGCAAATAATTAAGGCCATTTCAGAATAATTCCTCTTAGTGAATATCAGGCTGGTTGTCAAGATTCACAATTTTCTTTGAAAATAATACCAATAATCTTTTTTTAATAGATAGAAGTCTCCAGTATAAATAAGAGCTACAATTCATTGAAACTCTACTATATGTTTTCTATACATTATCTCATATAATTCTCACAAGGATATTAAAAACTAGTTGCTATCATTACAATCTTGTTGCTGAGAACACTGATGTTCATCATGATTTGAGAGTGACCAAAAATTTCAGAGTTGGTGTTAGAGACAAGAGTTAGGTCCTTTTCCTGTCTGTCAGTCTTTCATTCTTTCCACTATCTCCATTTAATCTGCCATAAGATTGTTTTGAATTTTATTTTGCGTTGTGACTTTTAGATAGAACTGAAATATCTTGATGGGATATGAAGTGAATTTCTAATTAAATGGGATCTTCATTGAGGCTATTGCTATAGAAACCTTCCAGGTTCTTATTGGAGAGAGCCTCTTGGGGAGATGGCTGTTTCAGAATCTCAAATAGCTGTGTGGTTACCAGGATAAGGGCTTCTATTATAAGGGAAAGGGTACTCTTGGCATATTAGGTGGGGTCCTTGCCAAGGTTCTGACAATTGTGCCCCAGATGGATTTTTTTTTCCTCTTTTCTACCCTGACATTTCTCTCTTGGTCATATGAACAGAGCTGATAACTCTAGTCCTCATGGTAAACTTCCTTGGAGTAGATTAAGTCATCAATCCTTCAGCTGCTGCTTGGACAATAACTCTGAAGACCAGGGGATTCAGGCATAGTAAAAGAGAGATATTGCTAGGCCAGATATGAATGCTATCTCTACTACTTACTCCATGTTGGTCTTGGCAAAATATATAACTTCTCTTGATTTTTTTTTCTTCAGTAAAACTGGACTGGTATCTGCCTCAAAGAATGTTATAAGGATTAAATAAGATAGCATATGTCAAATGTGCAGTATTAACATTTATCTATAGTTTTCTACTGTTGTTAACCACATCCCCTAGGCATTGGCATGCTGGTTGTGCCCCATGCATTGTTATTGTTCCATATTCAACTTTAATGAGATACTGTCCACTCTAATAACTTGTGTCCAAATGCCCAAGTTTAAAGTAGTCACTTTATATACTATAAAGACTAGGTATTTAGTCTTCAAAACATATACACACATATAGAACAATACTGATAGACAGGATTGAGAGAGTCAGGCAGTGAGTCATTTCTTAATAAGTTAACTTCTCATATTATTAGTTGTCATCTTAAGAAGCAAAGTTTGGAGAACTGCATAGAAAACATGAGATGCTCTCTGTGTGTGCTTTAGAGGTTCACAATCCGGTGAAGAGTATGGTGAGGTAGACACTCAGGTGATTATAACTCAGGGCAATATGAGGTGCTATAGGGGCTGTAGTGGTCACTTCCAGTCAGTGCTTGGGCCAACTGAAGGGGCCAGGCATCTGCAAGGAATCAAGATGCCTCAGGGAAAAGTAGGGTGGAAACAATAAAGACCACACCTGCCAACTTCACAATTTTGCCTCTGACTAGCTTTATTACTCACATATGCAAAGCTGAGCCTCAGGATCTGGATGAAAACTCACTGAGGTCTTCTGTAAAATGCTAGAATCACTAGCCATTAGTGCCTCCAAGGAGGTCTCAGAAGTGCAGCATGATCTTAAAACACAAATATACACCTATATTGGCTACATAGTTCATAGTGCATATACCTTAAGGCCCCACTGATCACTCACTGACAGATCTCAGGGAAATAATTTGCCTTTGAACTTTGGTTTCCTCCTCTTTTGCATGGGGTTAATAATATGTCTTTTAAAGTTTGTTGTAAAGATTAAGTGATATACTTCTAGAGGGTGTTCTAACTCATACTAAGTCTTCTACAATTATTAATTTCTTTGTTGTTTTTTCAACTGCCATCACATGCCTTGCCTTAACTTGGATGGAAGTTCTGCAGTGTTCACTGTGGTTAATGGCAATTACAGTCTCCTTCATTCCTTAGTGTTTATTATTTTGAAATCATAAGGTTGTCTCAGATGGACGAGGATGTTGCTATGAACCATATGTGCCAGTTGACAAACTCTGATTAATACTCTAGTGTCATAAGTTTTTAGAAGTTTAAAAATTCAATGGAATTATGTTTAATAAGCAAATAGAGTCTAAGTTTGTTTTAAATTGTTCCCTCTTTCTTTGAAAAGTATACCGCTTAGGTATAATTACATTTTTCTGAAAAATCTCAGCCAATTTTGTATATACTTTATTCCAACTACAAACAATAATAGAGAGCATTTAAAATGTTAATTTTTTAATCTTCAAAAGAATAAGCAAAGATTTATTTAGGAGAGAGAGAAGTGAGATTTTTGTAGGTTGTACAAATTAGAGAACTTATCTTTTTTTAAATAGAAAGTGGCTATTTCACATTCTTTCTGAGAGTGAATTCAGATCCCCTAAAAAAAAGAATGATCAGTTTTATCTGTTTTCTAAAAATGAGGTTTTTTTAAGTTACATTGTTCAGGGTATATCTATTTAAATGTAATGATTCAGGTGATGTTATATAGGGATCACATATACTTGCAAAGCCCCTCCCAGGTCTCCTGGGTAAAAGTAATCTGTGTTTCTGTTTCAAACAGGAAGGTTGTAGAATGATGATTTTCCTAAAGATGATTTGAAAGGTAGAATGCTGGCTGTGCTAATGATGGTTTACTCTAAAATTTCTATTGCCCTTGTCATAAAAAAGGCCTCAAATTTAAAGTAGAAGTCTAAATTAGTAGTAGATGACTTTGGTATTTTCATCTCTAAATTCAAAATATGTCATAAAAAAACAAATTGAATAATGATTTGGAAGTCTTCACTGGTCACCATAGGACTCAGGAAAGTAGTTAACTGGCCTGTGCTGGTTACCTGTCAATGGAATTTGAAGGGCTAGGTCCAACATTAGTTACTGGAAGTGTAAAATTGGAAAACATCTCTACTTGTGTATAGATAAGAAATGCTAAGGATTGTTTGTTTCTTTCTATTACAATTTGGACCCATCCCCTTTTCAACAAGTCTGCTGAGCTGTAACCCAAACACCTCTCCATAAGAGGCTCACATTCCTCAGAGTTTGCTACAGACTTTATATCGTGCTTATGCTTACTTTTTTATTTTTTAATTGTTTATGGTATAAGAGTTTTAGCTGTTGGGGTAAATATTAGAAAGGCAACAGTGACAACATGAGTTTCCAAAATCCTGTGAAGTCTTGTTCTAAATGAGTAAAATGAGTTAGGGACGTCCAAACTATTTCCTGGTTCTATTTCCATTTTTATTCTCTTGATTTTACTGAAATAGAACTACTGATTGAGAGGCTGGCTGGCTGGAAACACTCAGACTTGGTGCTCTAAAAACAGTATATAGTCTTTGGGCTGTTATTAAGAAAGGGCATAGACTGAGTGGCTTATAGACAATAGAAATATATTTCTCACAGTTTTAGAGGCTGTAAATCTGAGATCAGAGGGCTAATGTGGTCAGCTCTGGTGAAGACCCAATTCCAGGATGCAGACTGCTAACTTCTTATATCATCATGTGGTGGAAAGAGAGCTAGCTAGCTTGCTGGTCTCTTTGTATGTAAGAATATTAATCCCATTCAAGAGGACTCCACTTTAATGACCCAATCTCACAATGCCCCACTCCAAATATCATCAAATTCGAGATTAGATTTCAATTTATGAATTTGGGAGGCATGAAAATAGTTTCTAACAAGCAGCTTTCTGTACCTGGTGTTTTAAGATGTTTGGGGAATGGGGATGGGATATAGTACCTCAATACTGTTCATACATATTTTCATCAGAAAATTTAAGAGAAATGAGTTTTAATTACTGAAAGCGTATTAAACACCATATGTCTATGTTTACTGAGGGCCTACTATGTGCAAAGGAGACACAATTTTACCCTTATGGAGCTCCCATTTCAACAGCATTCACTACACATAATGAGACAGCATCTTCTTTTACCCTTCATAAAGCTTCTAGTAGAAACCACTAGCAAGGCCTAAAACATATCAGCTCGGAGACACATTAAATAAAAGTAAGAATATAGGCAGGACTAGAGGGGAAAAGAAGAATAAAAAGAAATGTGTGATTATATTGGGAGTCACTCAGTGGCCCAGACCACCCAGCCCTGAAGTACACATTGCCTATTGTTACAACAGTTCACAACACTTAAAAGGTAAGATCCTGCCGGCACCTAACATGTCAGGGAGCTGATATTATCAGTTTTGGCCAGTTACTCCAAGTCAGACTTAGTCGAATTGCTGAAAGAAAGCAGTAGACTTTTTGACTGCCAGTCTAGACTATACTTTTTCCCTTTTATGGCTCATTAGAAAAACATTTGTGCTGACCTGTAAGCTGATAAGTGCCAACTGGAGTCAACTCACTTGAGAGGAAAATTATTTATGATTACAATTTGGCTACAAGGCTTCTTTAGTATTTTTTTTTTACCCTGAATCAAGAATTGGAATTAGGGCCAAAAATTGCATTTTCTCACCTCTCTGGGAAAGACCTTTTGTAGCTTTACTGGATCACAATAGATCCTGTCCTTAGGACACATCCAAATAGTGCTGCTTAGCTTTTTTCTAATCATACACTGTCCTTGCTGCCTAACTCATCTTCTCACTGAACACACTCTTGAAAAATTTTCCCTTTTCTTTAAAAACTCTCTTCTGGTCTGTCTGGGTTATGTATTGACCTATTTATTTTGTGTGTGGGTGATTTCTGTGACTCCTCCTAGCTCAAAAATTTAATGACTGAATCTAAATTTTTAGCTTTGAGCATAATGGAAATCCTCACCACAATGCATGTGCACCTGCTTCATTTTTAAGGCCCATCCGAGCTTGCATATCTGTGGTAGTGTTTCTCAGGAGGTTGGATTGAGCTAGCGAGGCCTAGGTTATGGTTTTGATGTGTAGGTGCCAGTTAGCGCACATATCCTGCAGGCTAGACTGTACTCTGAACCCAGACAGGTACTCTGCACATGTATGGCCATGGTCCTGGAGAACCAGATGAGAGAATGAAGGCAAATCTGCGTAAATCTGTCATCATAAAAACACCTCAGTTGTAAGGCTTCTTGATGAGGTGTCTGGTCTCGGTAGCAACTTCTTTGCAAATAAATGTGAGTGCATAAATATGTGGTGGATACATCTGCAAGTTTTTAAAGTGAGAGCTTGACAGGTTTGGGCTAGTCCCAGAAAGCAGTCTAGGCAAAATTACCATGGTGCCAGTACACAGGGTGGAGTTTCCATAAGAGTTAGGCCACTGCTGCTCAATTTCCTGCTTCTTTAGCCATGGAAAAAAACAAGCTGCAGTTTTCTTCATAAACCATTGTATAAATGACTCTATGTCCTCAGGGGTGGTCAGATTCAAAGAACTTTGCTGAGGAGACTTCTCTGGCCATAAAGAAACATCACAGATTGAGAATATACCTTGTGGCCAGTTAACACATGGAAAGAAAAGAAAAAAGGGAACATTCTTGCACTCTAGAAGATTAGGGGAAAAGACTTTGAAATGTGAAAAAGACACAATTAAGTCAACAATGAAAATATGAAGAAATATACTTACCTAAATAAAATTAGACACATGTAGCCAAGAAACCTCATCAATGGACAGCTTCACACATGAAGTGATTCTTGAGCAGAGTTTTGAAGATATATCCAATCTAGTAGGAAGGATATTCCTGCAGAGGTTAGACATGAATGATGTTTACTGGGTAGGTTGCAAACAAGAGCACAAAGTGTGAGCTGTGCAAATGCATTTCACCTGTGCCATTGCCTGTCTCTTAAAATTCAAACAAAAATCTGTCCTCAAGCCTAATAACTTTTGTCTCTAGTGATGGTCTAATATCCTCATGAAGATTGTACACTAGTATCCTAGTTGTTCTTCTGGACACAAGGTGTATTATACTTCTCTGCCTTCTGTGGCCATATGACTTGTGTTGCCAGTGAAATAATAATGAAGTGTCAAATATTGCTTCCAGGAGAAAGTACTTAGTTGTCACTGTGTAGTTCTCTTTTTCTTGTTGCAACAGTTGTAAATGCATGTGTTGAGTGGAGCCTCCTGTGTTGAGGATGGCGACGGGATTGAGGAGTTCTTTTATAAAACTATCTTCTCCCATGGCTTCCACGATATCACACTTTGGACTCACCTTTTAGATAACTGATTTTGTATTTTAGGTTTAAACCCCCCCCCCCAAAATCTCATCACTTTCCTGGTTTTTAATTAATATATATGTAACTGGTAGGCTGATGACTCCTAAATATGTTCCTCCTGCTCTAGTACATGTCTTTCAAGCTCGTACATGCAAAGGTCATTCAAAAGCCACAAGTCCACAATTGAGTTTATCTCTCCTCCCAGATATGATCATTCTTTAAAGTCACAAAATTGTTAGCTGGGAATCCTATTTAATTTCTCTCTCTCAACAATAGTTCCTAAATACAATTTGTGACCAGTTGTTTTGTGTTCTGATTCTAAACTTCTTCTTTCCATGTCTTTCTTTCCATACTCTCTCTATTTAATAACTTCTGGGTTGGTCCTATTATCAATCCATTCTCCACAGAAGTTTTGGAGAAATCTTTCTAAAATACAAAAAATTATCATGTTTAAGTCCCCTTATTTAAAATCTTTGATGTCACCTCATTATACTAGAGTTAAAATCCAAACACTTTGAGAGCTTTTAGTGAGCTGTCCCCTGCTTAATAGAATGGTTTCATCACCTGATACATATGCTTTATACTCCAGCCATGCTGCTTCTCTTTTCCTTCCCTGAACTAAGTGCTTTCTTTCCTCTGTGCACTTGTACATCATGCTGTTTCCTGTGTGTGGACTTCACTCACTTTGATAATGTCTACTTTTTACTTTAAAAGCAAGTGAAGAATCATCTCTCCCAGAAAGAGTTCCATATGCTTCAACCCTGTAGCACTCATCATATTGATTGGTGGAAGGCCATTTATATATCATCCTCTTTACCAAAACTGTGTTTTGTGTGTTGTTCAACCTTATAAGCCCATCTTTCATTTGTGTATCTCCAAAACTCTCAAATGCCTAACATGCACTAGGTGTGCAATAAATGTTTAATGAAGGAATTAGCAGCTGATAAATTTGGAAGCCTATGCTTATGAGCTTTGCTTGTAACTGAAGAAATTTGGGAACCATTACATACATTTAATAAGGTGATAATACCCAAATGATACTTGCAGAGAGTCATAAGAATGGAGTGGAATTGGCATCTGAAATTTTGCAGAGATGGTATGAAGTCTGTTGTTGACAGTAAGAATGGGGAGGAAATGAAAAGCTGTAAGATTATGGCTTTCAATTCCCCATAATTTCCTTTGTTACAATTCTCACCGTAACTCATGCCTACTACGTTTAAAACTGGTATAAAGTGTCAAAGGCAGAGATATTAAATATTTTGCAAGTTCAACAAAAGGAAAGACAACTTATTTGAAGAGGTAAACATCTAAGCCTTTAAAGTCTTCCATAGTTTTTTTGACATTAATTTTGCCTTAATTTTGATGTTTATGATATGAACAAAAGACATTTATCCTATATGTAATATATCTTTGGTTTTCTTTTTAGTTTCTTTACTAGAAAGTCTAGCCATTGCTCTTATTCTATTAACTACCCTTGACTACTGGATTTTACTTCTGTGTGTGTGTGTGTGTGTGTGTGTGTGTGTGTTGTGTTGTGTCTCACTGGAATGCCCACAATCCTGAAAATGAGGAGGGTGATTGAATGTGGTTGGCTCTTACCACAACCATACAAGTAGGTGAGGAATAAACTTCCCAAAACTCCTTGGGCTCTCAAATCCTGTGTCCTCCCAATTCTTTCAGGGCTGGCAGCTTGCTTATCATTAGCAAAAGCTAGGCATAATTTCAAATGTTACATTGCAGAAAAATCACTCTTCCTGTCACCAGAAAAGAAAGAGACAGAGGAAAGATGCCTTTTTATATCTGGAACCTGGCACTGTCAGCCATTTGAAATTTGTCTCCCAGACTGTCTGGCCTTGGCTTGGGGAAGGCAGGGTTGCTGTGTAGCACAAGGAGGTGCAAAAACAAACATGGGCACAAAACCAAATACTTGACTGCAAGAAATGTTCTGAAAGTTATAAAAGTGAAATACTACTTCCAGCTGTCACTTTATGCAAGGATTAAGTTGAGCTCAAGAGGCTGCAGAAACAAAGTAAGAAAGTGAGTTATTCATTACAGTACCTATGCAAGTTGTAGAAGATGCCTGGATTTTCTACTGCTGAATTACTGGTGATCCCTTTGTCTATTCATGTACATATTCACTCATTCACTTGTCTTTATGTATATATTTGAAGATATGTTGCTGCTAAGGTGGCAAATCTTCATATTCTTTCCTTTTATAGCCAAGAACACTCTGCCCACTGGTCACCCTTTCTTTAATGCATGTTGCCCCTTATGGTGGCTCCCTCCTAGGCTTATGATCTACACAAAACATGTTACTGAAATGAACATTATCACCCAATGATCAGAATGTAAATCCATTAAATACAGTTGAGTGCATATTGAGACTTTATGATTGATAAGAGCGTGCTTAGACAGATGTGTTCCCACCACTGTTTTCTAAACAACAACAATCAGCAATGGTTGATATCCATAATGCACAGCTCTTCTTCATGTTGTTCTATCAAAGGTATCCCTCACTGGCTCAATATCCATAAATGGATTGGATAACATATCATCATCCATGCCCATGCATGACCACAGCCAATGTCAGTGTCTGGGTGCTTTCCATTGACTCAGTTTTTCCCCATTTCAAGGCCACTTCAGAAGCATGTAGCAGAGACACAGACAGTGAATTAGCCACATTTTGCACTGCCCCAATACTATATCTAACTTTCATTTTTAACATGGCAGTTGTTGTCTAAAACTCATATAGATGTTTAATTAGTTTTCAGGGGAGTGGAGTAGGGAAGACTCACTTTCAAATATTATTTAAGAACCCAGGTTTTTCTCCTTATAATCTAGCTTGCTGAAGTAAGATCTCATCTGAAATCTAGTGTTTCTCAAACTGACTGCCTTTATTAGACTTTGATAATTCATGAGTGTAGGAACTCTGGAAGCACATGCTTACCTTATTCCTGGTCTCAGAGAAACACTTCCATATGTGGATTTGAGAGCCATGCACTGAGAGGAAAATAGGCTAATCTGATCATAAACCATGGAGCCCTCCTAAAACTGTGTAAACACTGACAGAGGTATTTCTCAAAGTCTGAGCCAGAAGGAAGGCAACATTTTGTGAAGTATGTGAACATTCATTCAATTTCAAAGCCTCATTCAGCCTGCGGAATTTGTACTAAGCAGTATGTCTCATCCTCTGCCAGCCGGCACCCAGCATAATATTCTGAAAAATTAAATATTTTTGCTAATGGTGTTGTTCCTTAACTATTTAAAAATATTTCCTAATAAAGGAAAAAGTCAAGTCATGTCAAGACTAATATTTTATGCTATTCATCCATTAAAATCTTGAGTTGTTTAAGGACACTTTTAAACTCTTTCAAGATAATTTTCATCATTCTGAGTCAATAGTCATACTGTACAAGGGCTGAGAGCTTACCCTTCATCCTTTGCTTATAGATAAAACATAGTAAGTATTTATTTATTTTTTAAAGTTTATTTATTTATTTTTAGAGAGAAAGAGAGACAGAGAGAGCAAGGAAGGGGCAGAGAGAGGAGAGAAAATCTCAAGGAGACTCTGCACTGTCAGCACAGAGCTTAATGTAGGCTTGGTCCCAAAAACCATGAGATCATGACCTAAGTGGGAACTGAGTTGGTGGCTTAACAGACTGAGCCACCCAGGTACCGTGGAGGTATTTATTATATAGGCTCTTTGCACTTTGTTTCATATTTGCCTTGACATCATTAAGTTTATTTTTAAAAATCTTTCAGGAAGAAATTATCAAACCACATTCTGATATGAGAACACTAAAAGAAGGAGGAGCACAGTTATATTTTTATCACAGAAGAGTACTGTAAATAACTTCACACTCATGAGTCAGAGATGTCCTCAATGAAGAGTTTGTATTTGTGAAAAAAATGAAATGTCTGCAATGTTCACAAGGGAGGATATCCATTTTGAGCAACAGTGAGGGAAATTAAGGCTGATGAAGGATTATGGAAAAAATAGTAGCCAGTAACATTTATTTTGCACTTGCTATGTGCTAGGCACTGTGCTAAGTACTCTCCTGATTTGGAATTATCTCATCTTCCAAACAATACTATTAGAAGGTGCTTTTGTTCTTTCAATTTTATTGCAAGATCTGAGGTACAGATGAAAGTAATCAAGAGTTATAGGCAAATTTGTGGGGCAGGCGAACAAGTTTTGTTTTAGGAACCTAACATTCTTCTATCTTGAGATTTTCATTGGCTTTATTATAAATCACTTACAAAGAAATTTTTTTAATGACTGCTATCCATTTGGATGGTCTTCCTGTTACACAGAATTATGCTGACTTGGCCAGGATGGGAATTCTCAAACTTTGTTCCTTGGATCCCTAAGGGTCTTTGAAACACTTTTATGGTATCTGCAGGTCAAAATTATTTTCATAACAATACTAAGCCTTATTTGCATTTCTCACTGTGTTACATTTGCACTGATAGGGCTAAAACATTGGTGAATAAAAC